GCGATCTCCCCGTTGCCGGCGTCAACCACGGTGAAGCGTTCCCAAGTCCAGTCCTTCGGGTGGACGTGGTAGCCCTAAACCCTAAACCGTAAACCCAAAAATAATTTCAACTGGCATTGGCTCGACTGCTGGAAGATTCAAGCTCAGACTCCAGGCCGATACCGTCCGTGGGGCGATCGGAAGCGTCGATTATCGACACGTTCATGCGCAGGAAGCGACCTCACAAGGTAGAATTACCCAGCAAACTTCTCCCACATCCTTTCCAGGACTTCTGTAGGCCAAGCGGCTGTGAGACCTGCCTTGCAAGGCAACAGTGGTGCCGGGTCGCATGCGCACCTCGGCAAAGGAGTTGACACAGTTGCATGGACAATGTGCACACACACAGTTCACAAACACACACACACACACACACACACACACACACACACACACACACACACTGTAACACCTCGAGATCCAAGACAACTCCCAGCCCTGTTGCTGAGGCCGCCAACGCTCATGCGCAGAAAGTAACTGCCATCGAAGGCATCTGATGGCCCCGTGCCATTTTGCTCGCCTGGTGTCCGCATCCAAGCCTCCCGAAGATGCACGGAAAGCACGAATCGAACGTGCCCGCGAAACACGAGACACAGTGATTTCAGCAAGTGCTGTTCCAGTCGGATCCACTTACACTTAGTGACCTGGCCTGATCCTTGTCTACCCATCCGCACGTGTCCGTTTCAAAATCGCAGCCCACGACATCGTACTCCGGGAGGGCCTGAGGCTGCGACCGAAGAGCACTGGGAAAGCATCAAGGGTCACTACACCCGCAAACCTGAAGAAAATCACAGAGATGGAAAGTGTGGGCGAGTCATTGTTTGTCGATGTGTCTGTCTCCCCGTGTGTAGATGCATGGCAAGACTTACTGACTGCCTGCACGTCGTCTAGGCCGATATCGCTGGTCCACCATGTCGAGGTCTTGCCCAGGAAGCGGAGTGCTTGCGCTTCATCTGGCAGTCTCACAAGAGCGCGATGCCATGCGTTGTTCTGGTCCCCGGAGACCGACCACACTGTGGTCCACTGCATGCCGTGCCAGAACTGAAGTGTCAGCTGGCCCATGTAGTCTCCGTACATATGGTAGCGGAAAACAATGTATCTCTCTGCACCGTCACCCTTTCTGAACACGGCGCTTTCCAGCACAAACTCCTCTGCAGATCACTTAGCACAGCAGGCGGCACCAGTAGTTAACATGAGCTCACTCAGCACACCCACCACACAACACTGAATTTCGCTTGCACTTTAGCATCTTGCTTCATGCAGCTAGCATGGCTCATTGTCCTGCAAGCTAGCTTGCTACCCTTCAACACTAGTCACTGGTCATAGAAGACCGCGTGTCAAAAAAATACTATCGAGGTCACAAGTTCTTGCAAGTGCACAACATGTCCTATGTTGGTGCCGATTTGTTGGCAGGTTTCTCGAAGGCCGCTTGCCGCGACACATTGCATGCCCCAGCGGCACAAATCCCTTGCTTCTCGTACACGCACACTCGCCAAGCAGCAGCAATCAGACAAGCAATGACAAGCAGCAAACCAATGCGCCTACACCAAAAATGAAAACGGGACATGTCCTAGATCTGCTGAGAGTGCGGGATTCAGCGATGTCGTCGAGCCCCCGGTGATACAGTACCACGTCCAGCACAACTTGTAAAACACAAAACTCAACTCTTGAGGCTTTCACACACAGGAGCATAGGCATGCGCAAGGGCAGAGACTCTCAACGTCGTGTACACATTGGGACATACATCACGTACTGCATACCACGGCCAATGCAATACCGACATGTGGGCACTATGATCTAGACGGATGAGTGCACGGCATGTGCGACGACAAGTTCAGGGACACTGGTGAATCCGAACGACCCTTGAGTCAAGTCTTTGAGGGATCAGGCGCGAAAATTTTGGTTGCGAGGGGCCACTCCCTGGAAAGTGGCGGCACTAGAACGGCCTAGGCGGCATGGCTCGCAATGAATGACGAGACGCAGCGGAAAACGGAACTCATACGCTGTGATGGCGCTCCACACCGAGGGTGCCATCTGAGGAGCGATGTCGTGTGCACATCCCCGTCACGCCTCGCCCCATCCCTTGAGAGGTGTGCGCGATGTTGTGGCGTCCGTGATTGAGTGTGGATCTTTACCGCGACCCAGCGTCTTTGCACACGCTCGCGTTTCTGAGCTAACCGGTCAATGACTGAGAGGTGCATCCGCTGCCAAGGCCGATGCAAGTACCAGCGCCCGTAGCATCGGCACAACTTCTTGGGCCCATCGCGGCACCTTCATTTCTCATTGGAGAGCGCTCCTGGGCACCTAGCATTAAGAGCCTTGTGCGAACCCTACAATCTTTTCAGGTCATGGCAGGTCTCCCCTGATGTTCCCCAAGTCTACCTCAGAGCATGCGGCCTGACACGTCCCCGCCCGCTCTTATGCAAGTCCCTACCTCGCCTCGCAGAACGCGTGAAGGGAGCATAAAGGAGCTACAGTGTTGACCGGACACGCGGTCTCATTAGTCACGCTCAGATCCAGAATCCCCTACAACCCTTAACCGCCCAAACCCCAAAAACTGCAGGTCGAACACCTTACCCTGAAAGACGCATGAAAGCTGAAAGCTTTTCACTAGAGTAATGTTGCATTATGTTGCCACTAGTCCAGAGACCTTCTTATGGACACAGAGACAAGCACGAGACGTTGAAGATCCAGATCTCCACACTTGGCTCCCGCCTTGTTGGGATAATTCGGCAAACTCGACTCCAGGTATATGTAGTGGTCGCCATCGAATGCACCCGAGGGTCCTGTGTCAGATGACGGTGTTCCGCCAGTTCTCCTCATCCAAGCCTCCGCGGCAAACTCATGCACAGCAAACGCTGCAATGCTTCGAGGAACGGGCCGCGTTTGAGAAACATGCCGCTGCCCTGCCTGCTACACGAAACTTGAGCTTACTTACGATCCGTTGTCCATGCTATCCTTCTACAGCAGGCGATTCCACCCGAGATGGAGGAGCCTTTCAAAGTTGCCACTTCCCTTGCGGGATTGAAAACTTGCACACAAGTTGCCGCGCTAAACGAAAATGTTCAACAATGCCTGCAGCCGTCTCTGTGTGCAACATCGGAGCTTGATGAATCTGCGGCAAACCAGGAACAACTGATTCCTGTGGTATGAAAACACACCGTGCGAATTGCGCCTGATCAGTCATGGCTCTCCAGCTGCAGGAGTCGGTCTCAAAGCTGCACGCCACGATATCGTAGTTGGGCAATTGAGTTGCCGTTGACAAATTGGAAGTCTGCAGTGAATCTAGAGCCACGCCGCCTTCATGCCCAATCCTCGTGATCCCCAAAAACCGCAATGCTTGCGCATCATCCGGCAATTGGACATCGGCTCGACTCCAAACACCACCCTGGTCACCAGACGGTGACCACTCTGTGGTCCAATTCGCGCCATCCCAAGACTGCAGCATCAGGCGGCCCATTTCCGATGCACTCATGTGATAACGAAAATGTAGGTGCCTCTCTTCGCTGCCGCCTTTTGTGAACTCGGGGCTCTCAAGTGCAAGCACCTCCGCACATGAAGGTATAGGATGCATTTGCACACCATACGTTAGCCGGCTTATCTCCGTTTGCGTCTGTCCGTCCGTGCACATGTATGTGTGTGTGTGTGCATGCATGCGTACAAATGTATGAGCATGCGGTATGTATGCAGGTGTACATACATGCATACAAGCACACCTGCGAAAGTACACTTTACCAGAATGCACACCAAACAACCCTAAAGTATATTTGGTGCACAAGCTCACTCAACTGAGATACCAAAGTAACCCTGAAGTTCCAGCAGCGCCTTTCTTCCTGCAGGGCAAAGTGCTTGAGCCAACGGATGTTGGCAAAGTATGGGGAGAAAGGGGACGTGACATTTTCACACGCCTCCTCGAGACTAAAGTTCTACTTTATTCTCGTAAAGTATATCACGAAGAAACCTGTGTGCATGCACATACCAAAGTGAGGTCGCTCAAAAGTTTTGTGCATCAGCTGGAGAAAAGTAGCAACGAAGGTCTCCTATCCTATCCACAATCTTCAAAAAGTTGCCCGTCGAAGAAAAGTTCGTTGTGCACGTAGCGTCGGCCCGTTAAAGTGCAGCGACAAAGTTGCATCGTTGTGCCAAAAGTGTCGTGTGCTTCCATGGCTCGCCATACCCTGCCAAAGTTGTCTGGGGACAATGTCCCAGTCCTTGGCATGCTGGGTAATGCTCCAAAGTGACTTCAGAACAGGCACATGGAAAAGTCGCCAATACCAGCCATTGGGATCCTCAAAAAGTTCGTTCAGTTTGTTGCACGTCACGAGGAAACGGTTGCGGAGGTAGGGGGCATGCCTCATGACCCAGCCGAAACTGGGAACTCGCTGCTCAACTTGATCTTTGCCTTGTCCTGCAAGTGCGCTTTGAAGGTGAGAGCCAGGCGGCGAACAGTGCTGATGGCTTTCTCAGCAACACGATCGGTCTTGGATTCACCCCGGTGGTCGGGCTTCTCCTCCTGTGCCTTCTCTGGTTCTACTGCTGCGCCTGGCTCCTCAGCGTGATCTCCTTCACCTTCGGTTTTCTCTCCTCGGGCTCGCCTTCTCCTCTCTCCTTGGTGAACGTGTAGAACTCGAGCTGAACGACTGTCCCGGGCTCTGCCCCCTTTGAGGCCGCTGCTGGCTGCACCTGCGGACTGCTCCTTGTGAGGGCTTCGCCGGCTTCTCCCCAAGACGCATGCGGGGCAACAGCTTTGGAAAGGTTGATGCGTCACCCAATGCAAAGCCTGCTGCCTTGCTGTCGGGAGAACCGGGGTGGCTGGGATGTCGGGATCGTGTTCGGCCTCGTCGTACATTTTCTTCGCCCGGTCGCCATCTGCTTGGCAAGGACTTCTTTGTGTTGCCTTAGCCGTCGTAGGACCTTTGCCTTGGAGCCGCTTGTTGGGAGGCCCGCACGCTTGCACAGGTCCTTCAACACACGCAAAGGAGTCTCACACATCCCCCAGCATCAGGGGCCGGACCTGCCACATCGCGTTCGGCCCAAACCCCTGCACCAGTGTCCGTCTTCTCCTGGCTCTCGTTGGGAACATGCATGCCGACGTCGGGGCCAACCTCCGTGAAAATCTCCCGGAGGTCGCTTGGAAGTTCTTCCACATGAAAGAGCACAGCCACATCATGGAAACCGGCCATCTCCTCCTGACTCCTCGATCCCGGCCAACACGCGCCCGCCGCTTGGGAACATCACCGTGGGAGCCGTCGTCACCTGAACCCACACTCGCTCTTTCCGAACAAACATTGCCATGTGGGTCCCATCATCTGTTTCCCGAAATGCAGATTCAAGGCTCACCTCGGTCACATGGTGCAAGGTGAGAAGAGGTAGCCCGGAGGGAAGAATGAACCACCCTGGTTGTTGGACTGCATCTTCGGCTTCAGGGGGTAGAGCTCCATAGTCGAAGGCAGTGATTGCCGAGACCACGGCGGTGAGCATCAGGGTGTTCAAAGTGAACCAAATCGGCACATGGTGGCCATCACGAATGATCTCTGGCCCATCCGTGCCTTGTCCCAAATGTCACCCGCTCCTCAGCAATCTCCCCAGAGAGCAGAGCTCACGGCAGCGATGGCAAACTGCTCAACAACGATGTCGTCCTCAAAGTCCTCATCGTGAGCCACCAGCCAAGTGACCAGCTGGAAGCTCCACTCGCGCCGGCCACGCAGCTCTTCCTCTGTATTCTGCGGTTTCCACACATCAGGCTTAAGGGCTTGGGTCAAGCCCTCGCTCTTGTTCGCTGTTGCTTGCTTCTCGGCGCCTCTGCGGCAAGCTGGGTGGCCGTCAAGGCCTTTGCGAAAAAAAGTCGAACGCCCGCTGGCGCCGGTTGCTCCTGCAGTTGAGGCGCAAAGCCCGCAACAGGGGCCTCAGGAGGCGGCTGCTGGACCTGCTGCTGCTGCGGCATATTCTCCTGAGACATCTCGCTAAAGAAACCACCAAGCCAGCCAGGAAATAACAATCTCACAGCCAGCACACCAGTCAGTGACAACCAACCAGAAAACTTGCTTCCCCTGAACGGCTCCAAGCCCACACGCGCTGAGCCAAATTGCCCAAGGCCTTCCACGCCTACAATCGCTGACGCCGCTGACCACAGGCTTCCCACGCCCACACGCGCTGAAGCCAAAAACTTCCTCCGAGCCTGCCCCAGCACCAGGCAGACTTACGACAAAACAACCACAAGATTGTGGGTGGGCGAACGAGTTCGCAGCCCCCCAGGTCTGCAGGCACAGCAACGTGCAGCTACAGAAGACGAGCGCTCTCATCCGGTGAAACGTGGAGTACCCAAGGCCTTGGGGCTGAATTCAAGCGGGCCCTGGAGCACTTAAGGTGCTCCGCTACCATGCAAAACTTGTCCCTTGATGCTTGAGGGTTGTCCGATCGCACATGCGAAGCAATGCTTACATATGCGCTCCAGGCAGGAACATCCTTCTTTGCAAAGATAGCAAGGCTTGATGCTTGCTTATAAAGACCATGGGCATTTGCAGTCAACGTACAGGTGCAAATGCCATACTGATGCCATGCTGTTCAGAAATGGTGAACAGCAGCAGTCAAGAAGTAGTATGGTGGCAACTCAGTAGTAGTGCAATGACGGTATAGTATGATAGTATAGTAGTTGCTAAATACAAATACAGCAGTGTAGTAAAGGCATACTAGTATTGTAGCATGTGGCAGTGCAACAGCAATATACGAAGGAATAGCAGGTTCTCATCTCTCGAAATTCAATTTCGATCATTCCAACATAACTACTACGACCTGTTGAAGACTTTTCTTTCGGCACACAGTCTCCACAATCGACCAAGGGCTGAGGCCTGGTAAAGTAGTACAGTAGCAGTACAGTATTAAATTGTACAGGAATAGTGCGCATAGTAGTAGTGGAGTAATACGAAAGTAGAGCGGCAGTAGTAGGAGTAGTAGTAGTAGTAGTCGTCGTCGCAGTAGTATAGGCAAAATGCAGTAGCAGTCCCTTGATTCAAGGTGGATTCGTGCCTGCGAGAAAGGGTCATAGGCGTAACATTCAAAAAACAAAAAGCATTTTGATTTTTTGTGAAGCTTTCTTTCATGCGATTTCAACTAAAGCCAAATCTTGAACAATTCCAACTAAGACAGCCACAGACCCCCTCCGACGCTCGACATGTGAAACCGTAAAGGAAGCCTTTGAGTGGCGGATGCATCTGTGTATGTATATATATATATATATATATATATATATATATATATATATATATACATATCCATATGCGTGTATGCATGTGTATCTGCATATATACACCCGTATGTATGTATGTATGTATGTATGTATGTATTCATGCATGTATCTAGGTAAGCAGGTAAGGATGTGTGTGTGTGTGTTGAAAATATGTGTACGGGTATGCGTAGGTGTGCATACATACACTGCGTACACATACACGCATACACATCTACCTCTCTCTCTCTCTCTCTCTCTCGCTCTCTTTGGCCGACCTGGGTCATAGCTTCGGGGACTTCGGCGACCGTCACGATGTCGAAATTCTGCTCGGGAACTAGCTCCAGAAAGTCCTCTTGCAAGCGCTTTGGTTGAGGCCTCTGGGACTTGAGGGAGTCGCGTAGCCAGGTGCCTCCCTCGAGATCGTGATTCTACGATGCTGATGAAGAAAGCTCGCTGACTATCCGACTTTCCAGGGTCACTCGACTGCTAGGCTTTTGTGGAAGTCCGACGTGCCAAATCAAGCGAAACAGAACAAAGGCCGCACAAACAATCGCCCAGCACGGAGGTCAAAAGCCCAGCAATGGCAAAATTCGTCTCATAAACTTCTCAAACCCTCACCTCGAGGGTGCAAAACCTCTTCTATTCGGAAACCCCTCCCTTTTCCTGCTCATCGACCTGGTCGCTGCTGTTAACCACCCAGTCTGTCATGCGAACGTAGCGATTGAAGAAGGTGTTGTGCAAGGCAATGCCCCCAGTCCTGAGTAACTCGAAGGCATTCGTACACACCTCCCAAATCCAGAGTGCCAGCCGAGATTCGGGAAATACCTCACTGCGAAAGCCTCGCCCGCAGAATTCGCAGGCAGGTCGCTGCTGGCCATCGGGACACTGGTCTCCATTTCCGCGCCGTTCATCCGCACCTTATGACGTCACAGCTGAACATGCTCCATCTTCGCGGTTGCCACGCCTGACACCTCAACTCAAGTCCCGCAGAGCCGGGAATCCCCGAAGCCACGCTCTAAGCCGAGATGCAAAGCGGTTGTGCACAGCGTTGTGGAGCGCGATCTTCCCATGCCCGGCATCGACAACGGTGTAGTACGACCAGGTCCAACCAGACGGAAGCGCGTCCTCGGAAGAGGTCTCGCTGACTCAATTCTCGGTCTCGGCTCGGACTCTGGGTTTGAAGAATGACAGAGACACGCTCTTGTCGGGCTCGCTAGCAAAAACCTCAACGACCGCCCTGGCAATCGTTCTCACAGGGGGAGTGGCCGCGTTCATCTCGGGGCTGCCATCCATGTCCGGGACCTCAGCCAATCAACTTGGGACATGCCCGTCATTCGGGGATTAGGATTGGAGAAAAGGCTCAAGATCTGGAACTGACGAAGCATCTGCTCTGCACCTCTCTGTCTCGTCTCCGTTGCTGCCTCACTCTGCCTGCATCTCTTGCCGGTGTCTCTTCTTCCTCTGTCCGTCTTTGCCTACCTGCCTCGGCTTTTGTCGCTGTCTGTGGCTCTCCGCTCTTTCTCTCTCGCTCTCTCTCTCTTTCTCTCTCTCCCCCCCGTCCCGCCAGACCACCCGAAGGCGCCGCAGCTCTCTGCTGACACCGCTCCTGCAATGGAACCCAGCAGTCCGAGGAAAAACCCCAACAAATCCTACGCCGGGGCTCCAACAGCCAAAGCACGGTACAACACAGAATCCAATCTCTAAACTTTAACGACCCAAGCACCCAGTTCATGCGCAGGAAGCGGTTCCAGTGTGCGCAGTGCAAGGCCACTGTGGAGCCGGGCTCCAGGTAGGGCTTGACCTGCCAGGGCTACTGGGTCACGTCTGGGATCGCGGCAGTTTAGGGTTTAGGGTTTAGGGTTTAGGGTTTAGGGTTTAGGGTTGCGGCTTCGACCTCGGACATGGATCCAGAAGTGAAAGTGGGGTTGACGAGTGCTTGGCCAGTCGAGACGCAACCTTAACCCCCAACCTTCACCAAGCGGAAGCGCTCAAGGTGCGCCGGCAGGTCTGAGGCATTCTTCGTCTCGCTCACACCCACTCTCCCATCATCTGACAGTGAGATGAAGCCTCGGCTTCGGTTTTTCGGGGGGTTTGATGTGGAGGATGTGAAGGCTGGGCTTCTGGGATTCGGGGATCCAAAGGCTCTGGGCCGGCGGCCCTCGAAATCGAAAGCATTTTGAGCAGACACCGCACGAACGAGAAGGCTGCCTATACGTACCTTTCGTTCACAAACAAGCCCTTGACACAGTTTCCAGCACCATCCACCCATCGAAGACAAGCCCCTTGCCCCGGGGTGGCTTCATAGTGCAAGATACCAGTCCAACTATCTTGCAGCACATCGAACTGCCAAGAAGCGGTTGTGAACACCGCTGTGCAAAGCGATGGACCCATCCCCGACATCGACCACAGTGAATCGCTCCCAGATCGAGTCTGCGGGAAGCTCATCTGCAGCCTCGAGCGTCGACGAGTTCTGGACGTACATTAGACGGCCCGGGGCTCAGGGTTTAAGGTTTTAGGGATAAGGGTTTAGACGCTCTGGTCTTAGGCCTTGCCTTGCTTGAAAGGCGCTTACTTCAGTGTTCAGGACATTCTCGGGCTTTCCGGAGCTCGTCAGGCCGTGCTGGTTCAGCATATCAGTAGCCAGACAGGAAAATGAAAACTTCCAGAAACACCATGGTCCCTACGGGACGAGGTAGTCCCAGTCGGCTCAAATGGCTTCCCTGGAACTCCCTCTGCAACTTCAACACGAAATCAGCCAAGTTGTGTTTCACATACTGGTTTTAAAGGTTTAAAGTGAGAGTCTTAAGCTTTGAGATATGAGGCCTAGAGGCCCCGAAGCCGCTTGTGTCCATCCCCGTACTGCTCATGCGCACGAAGCGGTTGTGGAAAGTGTTGTGCAGCGCGATCTCCCCGTTGCCGGCGTCAACGACAGTGAAGCGTTCCCAAGTCCAGTCCTTCGGGAGGTGGTGCTGGTGCTGGTGGTGGTGCTGCTGCTGGTGCTGGTGCTGGTGCTCGTGCTGGTGGTGGTGGTTGTGGTGATGGCTATGCCAGGGCCTACATAGCCAATTGAAAATTCAAGCTCAGGCTCAAGGCGGATCTCGTCCGAAGCTGCTGAAGCATCGATTATCGGCGGGTTCATGCGCAGGAAGCGACCTTGCAAGTGAATTGAGTTAGCAAGGGGTACTACCCTGCCCACCCATCTCCCGCATCCTTTCCTCCCCTCTCCAGGCCAAGACGCTGTGAGAGTCGCCTTGCAAGGCAATCATGGCGCCGGGTCTCAGGCGCACCTCAGTCCGAGGTGGATGGCTTGGGGTCTGCATTTCGGGCTTGCCAGTGCGGCTTACCGACCTGAGACAAGAGCACACACTTTCACACCTCGAAACTCAAGACATCCACGTAGCCCTGTCGCTGAGGCCGCCAACATTCAGGTCAAGAAAGTAGCTGCCATCGAAAGCAGCTGATGGCCCTGTGCCATTTTGTGCGCCAGTTGTCCGCATCCAAGCCTGCCGAAGATGTACGGAAAGGGCGGAAGATGTACGGAAAGGGCATGCGAAACACGAGACGCACTAGCACATACTGCTTCAGCGATAACTCTGCAGCTTAATGATTCTCTGGGGAAGTGCCTCAGCAAGTGTTGTGCCAATCGGTGCCCCGGCGTGACGCTTGTCCACCCATCCGCAAGTGTCGATTTCAAAATCACAGCCTACGACGTCGTACTGTGGGAGAGTCAAGGTCGTGGTGGTCGTGGTTGCGGAGGTCATGGAATTCGTCACGGTTGATGTCGCGGAAACCGTCAAGGTTTCAGTTGATGTCATCAAGGTCTTCGTGGTCGTGGTCGCCCAGGAGCACTGGGAGAGCATCAGGATCTTCAGGGCTGCCCATTGCATGGCCTTAGTTACAGCTCATGCACAGACTGGAGCCTGCTGGACTGCTGGACTCACCGACCATCTCTGGCGGTGATCAGCCGAGATGCCTTCTAAAGAACACAGGCACCAGCCAGCAGCTAGCAAACTTCCCGAGAGCTTCGAGGTGGCTGCAAGCAAGTGAGCAACGAATCACGAGTCGAGCAGGTGCAGGCTCCAGGCTTCTTCGCGACGGACTGCCGGTCACAGACTTTTCCCGGCATGGCTCGTGGTGAGACGATGGTGCCATACATGCAGCCAAGGCAAAACGAAATGTGGTCTCGCTGGCAACTCAACTTTCAAAGTGTTCCGGATGCGATATGACAGTGACCACACTGCACACCTTCTTCGAAGGCCGCAACTTTAAGTTCCGAGTCAGCACCCACCACGACCTAAACTTTCGTTGCTTGGCTCAGCTAAAGTCGTCCACACGTCACTTCATGTCCGACTAGGGACGGGGTGGGGTTCTGGCAACAGCTCCTGTGCCAGCTGTGCCAGCGCCAGGCTAACTCCAACTCGCTTAACGAAGCTCTCTACTCGGCAGGTTAGCCGTTTCACGTCGTCCGATGCGCAAGCGAGGAAGCCAGGTCTCTGAAGTCACTTTCACCTGAAGCGTCCCTCTCTGCCAAGCTCCACAGTGCGCCACATGAAGCGATCGCGGGACCTCCACATCTCCCTGAGTGTCGTTTCCAGGCGAAGGGCACGGATCGGTGAGGGTGCTCTGTGCAAACATCTGAAGGTTTTTGCCACAAGCATTGCTGCAAGGAGCTCTAAAACTCTAAAATGGGACACACACACTGAATGCTAAGGGAGGTTTCTGTATGCGAAGAACCACCCGATGTCCAGGTCTCAAGCGACCACACATCAGAGACTTTGGACAGGTAGCTTCATGGACAACAGCTGCAAAGAGGAAGTGCAGAAAGTCTGTAGCTGACACCTCAACCTGCCTGGCTAAACCACAACGCCAGCCTGAACCCCAACGCGCCGAAGGACAAGACCAGGACCAACGATTGCAAACGCTCGCACTGAAGAATGGCTTCACTCGCACTGACAAGGTTCTGTGCGGGGTCCTCGGCTTAGCCCCAGGCCATCCAGACAAGGAATATGCACCAATACGATGACGAACCAATTACAGCGAAGACCAGGATGTCACAAGCAATTGTGCAGGTACGTGAAGAAGGCGTCCCTTCTTCATATCACAGCAAATCTGGACGGTCTTCGTTAGGCAGCGCAATCCAGAAATGCTCGCTGCCCCCCTGCTGTGTACTCGATACTCAAGTCCGGTTACATGTAAAATCGCAATCGGTAAACAGCTGCAGAGCGTGAGGAGAAGGCCCTTGGATACAGGGTTGTCACACACACACACACCCCGCCGTAGCGGGGTGAGTTAATATGGCCAGATCAGGCGAAAACGGTGAGCATGTAGAGCAGGTAGGGCCGTCGGGTGAACTTGAAGAATCTGGCAGTGGTGTAGAGAATGTCGTTGGAGAACTTCTCGGAGAGGAGTTGGCAGTTCATGTCGTTGATGTTGATGTCGATCAACGTGACGAGCGTAGACTTTGGGTGCCAGAAGACCGAGGCAAAATTGCCAACGATGATGGAGTATCATCTGCCTCATGGTGTAATGTAGTCGACGGTCAGCGAGAAGTAAAGCATGAAGTACGTATGGAGGTGGTGCGGTCATGAACATGCTGTACTGGTAACCGCAGATGTTTGCGTCATAGTAATCCAATCGCTGGAAGGAAGGATTGAGTTGACAAAGTCCGTGGAGCGTGTCGAGGTAGAAGCGATTCTGAGAAGTCGTGAACCGGTGCTGTGAGATGACAAAACGCGGGTCAAGGAGGGTACTGGGGATCTGTAGGTCGGGTGAGGTCATTTGACGAACTTGCCATACGCGGATCTCCACCAAGTAGTCCAGCCACCATTCCGACGGAATATCGAATAGCTGCGGAGCCATGAGTACAGGTGGCGAAGAAAAGAGAGGGCGAGGACTAACCAAATAGTGCTGAAAGGGGCTGCGGTGGGTCAATGAGATCACGGTCAAAGTGCGCAAGAGAGGTTCTTTGTCTCATAATTGCAGTCAGCGTCTTCCCGAGCTTCACCGTCTCAGATCTGGCAGAAGACCATGACGTTGTTGTTCCTGTTGCCAATAAGGATTGTCCATTGTGATGGGTGAGGGAGAGGAGTGGCGGCGGGAAGTCGTGGATGTCCATTTGGAAAAAGAGAGGCAATGTGCCGAACACCAACATGTGGTAATCCAGGGTCCAGAAGAAGTAGGTCGCCACTGTGCTAGGGTAGGATCCCGGATGCGAACGCGTAGGCAAAGTCGCGATGTAGAGCGTAATCGGGCATGGGCTCGCCAACACAGTTGATTGCAGTATACGATGACAGACGGCTGATAGTGGTAGATCGTGAACACCGTGTTGTCGTGGTGGAAACCAAAGAAATTGTGAGCGCTCATCTTGTGATCTTGGAGGGCGGCGAGGAATTGTTGCCAAACGCCATATTGATGCCAGGAGCAATCGCCGTGATGTGCGGTCAAAATGGACAAGGCTGAGCGGGTGGTGTGGCGATCATCAGTGTGTGGACGTTGGCAATGACGGGGATCCAGTTGTATCATAGTCTGCATCTCGAAATAGGAGAGGATCATGGGGAGGATGTCAGAGAAAGAAGCCATTCGTGGGGAGGGGGAGGACGCAAAAGAGTTTGTACAGAAAAGCTGCGGTGAAAAGGCTGCGGGGCGCGGTGCTGACAAATACGGAGATGCTTGAGACAGTGTTTTCCAGAGCAGGTTCTCGACGATAAATCAGGCAGTCAAAAGTTCACGGACAGAGCGTCGTCGGCGAGTGGAACATTCCCGGTAAATGAGTGCCAAAGGGATGAGTTGGTCTTCGGGTAGGTCATAGCGACGTCCTATTCGGGAATTGTCTGAGGCTGCGGTAGGTCCTCCTCGTTCATGTGCTATGATGTCCAGCATAATGCGGGCGCGATGTCGGATGCAGTTCTGCACATCCTGATAATACGGTGAGGCTGGAGTGCACTGGCGCCATTGTCGAAGCCATTGTTGTCTACGACGTTCTGCGGCATCTCCATGGAATGAGACGGTGGAGTGTGTGGAGCCCGACTTGGTGCGGCGTACTTGATGTAATGTATATCCATGTCCTCGTGGAGGTATGCGGGCTCGAGGGGGAACGTCCATTGTTGAGGGGCAATTGGGCGTTGTGATTGAAGGTCCAGCCGCTGGTACAGTAGGGCTCGTCCCCGGAGGTGTCTTCCGTGATGTTCTCGTTGGACGGGACGAGGAAGTACTGTGGGGTGCGGAAGTTCCTGTAGCAGGGTCCGTTGCCCTCGGTGTCGTAGCCGAGCGCGAAGAAGAGGATGACGACGACGAGGAGGATGTCGACGACGAGGTTGACTTGGTTCTGGAAGGTCGAGAAGACGTAGAGGAAGAGGATGTTGTGTGATGGCGATGTCGTCGGCGGCGTTTGCCGGGTCGTTGTAATGGGGAAGAAGGGGAAGAAAGTGGGAGGGTGCGATGAGGCGCGGAGTCCCCGTGAACATCCGAACCTGTGGCAAGTAGACCAGTGTCGTGTGCGGAGGAGACTTCCAGGTCTGAGTCAATGTCCGGGTCTGGTGTCCATGTGACGTCGTCCAAGAGGTAGGAGTCGGATGAGGAACCGGTCATGATTAGGGGCTCTGGCGGTGGCTTGACCTAAAATGCCTGCGATTAAATCAACGGAACCAAGTGGTGTAGATCTGATGCACGCAAGGGAGCAGGTTTTCCGGGGGTTCACTGACCTGTCGCCAACGTAGTCCATAGCGGCGAAGTACTGATCGAGATGCGTCTTCCAGTGAACGCTCAGAAAAACCTCGTTCACGATATAGTTGAATGAGTTCGCGGACTTGAGGTGCAATGACGGCTTTGGGCCACGATAATCTGCAAATGAGATAAATCCGAGTAGTGAGGCCCTGAGTGTTCCTGCGCATCGAAGATACGGAACACGGAGAGCGCAAAGAGATACTGTTCCGTGGGAGAGCAAGTCGAATGGAACGTTGTGCGGTGTCCACGATGGTGCCCAACAGTTCTTGTCCGGGAACGTGTTCCAACTCCAAGGGAAGGCCATAGAAATGTGGATGTAGGTATACCTCTTGAAACCAGCCAGAAGATGTAGTAGAGGATGAAGAGAAAGGATCGTGACATCGACGGGAATGGTGCCGTGGTGGGGCGTCCAGCGAT